AAGCACACAGAAACATTGAATTTATGTGATTCTAAGTCCGGGTACTATTGGGCAAGTCGCTAACATAAATATAAAATGAGTTTAGCATTATCCGGAGTAAAGAAAATGAAAAACTATATTTGGTCTTCAAATGACCTTCAAAATCCAGGTCAAATGCAAGGACAGCAGCTGCAGGCCCCTATTACCTCAAAAACTTTTGTGGACGTCATTTTCCTAATATCTTGCTATCCTGACAAGTTATTCAAACGTATGCTTAATTTTGGTATTTCATTTTTTTCTTTAAAATTATCCAAAGAATCACTTTAATTATTAACCTAAAATGTCTAAAATGTTCCAGATGTTTGAATTGTTTCAGTCTATTATTTAAAACATAGAACAGAAATACTTTTGAGGAAGACTAAGAGTTGTTATAGTTTATTGTCGTGTGAGAAGCTCCTAGTAAACTTCAAATATCAGCGACAGCCAAACTCACCATCCAATCGTGTAAAGTAAACCAAATCAGTCCTACTAAGAACGCCCGAAAATTGAAAATCCACAATAGAAATCTGGCGAGGCCATCAGGAAGTACAATAGAACGTTGACTCTAGTGATCCGCAGATCATTAACCAGGACCAAGTGCATGGTCCATACACGTTGAATGACTGTTAACTTTCATTATCGTTGTTATTTAAGCCGCCTATTGCATGCAACCAAACCAGTTCATGCACAAGTAATATTAAAAAAAAAATTGCAAAGACAGTGAAGTTCATCAAAGTATCAGGCACAAAACAAAAACTGCATAGAAACAGTTATAGACAATCACAACAGAGCATGTCCTCCTCTTTAAGCATCTGAATATTCTTTTCTGTGTGAATTATTTGGTAGAACCGCAATTAAATTATATCCTTTGGTCATGTAGCGAATTCTGCATCAGAATTTGAAAGCTTTTTATGCTTCAAATTTGATTCATAACCACCATTTTACACTCACTGTCTGAAACATAGAATGAATAATCTTTCTTTAAAAAATTCACTCTATTAGCCTTGTCAAGTAGGTTTTAAGAACATGATTTAGTAGCACTTAAGAAACCTTAACGCTAACTAGGTTTAATATTCCATTAAATTCGGGTGTATGCAATTAATAATTAATTTATCTAAGCTCGTCTGGTTGCTCGGAAATTTCCTGCTTCCCGACGTTCAGACTGTAAGGCGTTGATATGATGTATAATTAATATTCCTTAAGCCTAAAGATAATTATCACAAAGCGTATCCTTGAAGAGTAATTGATGAGGGAGCCTTGAAAAATGTATTTGTTTTTAGACGGACGGAATTCAATTTCAGTCGCTGATAATAATGCTTACTTCATACTGGAATCTTCGCCGAGTGCGATGGCGATGTATTATTGGAAACTACTTGACTTGTAGTCAAGTGTTTTGAAATAGTACCTAATTGTCTTGATTTTTTCCACTAATTCTTGACCTAGCTAAAAAAGTGCCCAAACAGATATATTATTTCCAAACATTTATGCTGTAAAGTCAATAAAGTTTCCTTTAAAACGTGAACACTTTTCCTAACAGCAATACAATCACTTTTCTCTCATATTTCTGCTGTGGTTCAGTAACTAACTTAGGGTTTAGAGCCACCACAAAAATATTCTTAGTTCAACATATTCTTACCTTGCTTAGTTAATTCACCAGCCCATGTACTTGTATATAAATAAGTATTTTATTACAAAGTTTCAGTACCATTCAGTTATCATTTACCATTAATTCTTGACGTAAGTCGTGCAATTTGAAAACTACTAAAAATAGATTATTTCCTAAACTTTGACAGATATTAGTAGATCAATGCTCTGTCGGAGTGTGTAGAGCCCGCAGAGTAGTTGTTTCTCTGTCAGTTGCTTTGAAATATTCTGTTCTCCCAGTTGGCGTAAGAGGTGGGGTTAATAGTATCTGCGAAACTGCAGGTCATTTTCTTCCAATGTGGCTATATTGAATGATTAAGGTAGTGAGTAGCAGTGGCCATGCACAGATGGAGGCACTGTATACGCCTTGTGTATAAATACCTACACATCTGTAGTAAGGACATCAAAGCAGCTGGATCTTTCGTTGTGGTTAAAGAGCGATAATCCCGCTCGACCCTGCCCCATTCTATATATTCAACCAAAGATATTGGCGCGATTCTTCGTCGGTTGTCTCACGTATGACATACTGATGAGGACTATGATCATAAACTAACAAGATTATGGAAATATCATCGATTTCAATGAAATTTCATTATGTTGTACAAAAAATACGAGACACGGTATATCTTCTTTTCTGTCGATAAAAATTTTAAAGGGGTAAAAACCACCCCTTAAGTTTTTTCAAGAATTCTCCGTTTCTGTATATTTTTTTTAAAACCAATTAGAAATTGTTTATTATTGATAAACAGAATGTATAAAAACAGAGTTTACTTGAAAAAAGTCTTTTTGGGGAAAAACTTTCTATGCCTTTAAAATGTTTATCGGCAGAAAAGAAAATATACGAGCCACGTATTTTTCTGTCCTCTACAATATAGAGAAGTTTAATTGAAATCGGTGACTGACACTTCGATAACCTTCCTTGTAGGTATGCGGGTGTACTGCAATGCTAGTAAGGGTGTGCCGGCCGCAGAGTAGTTCTTTTGAAATATTGTGTTGACGAGAGAGGTAGTGCTAATACTTTAGTGTAAATGGGGTAAAAACATTCTCGATAAATAAAAAGAATATCCACAAGTCCGATATTATTGTAACTGAGTGCCTTTTTGTCAGAAAAGTTTTATCACTATTCAAGACAAAACATATCCATACTAACTGTAATATTCACAACAAGCTTACACTAACACCAACTCACCAAAAACTCAAACCAGAACAAATATTATTAAATTGTCAAAGAGCAACAACGTTAGAAATGACAACAAGCATTGATTTATTTTCTCAAGGCTGTACAAATGTGTGATTCCAGAAATGCCATTAAATTCAAATGTAAGTATAAAACTAAACTGATTACAGTGCCTTTTTGTGAAACATTATTTTGGCATTAGTTATAGTCCCTTGAAATTAAAATTCCACTCTTAAAAACCCTGTATATTTATTTTCTGTAACAGATTCACTTAGATTTTTATTTTTATTATATTTTCATAAACTTATTCGAAGTGTATTAAATAATTAACAAGAATTATATTATTAAATTTATATTGAAATAATTGTATAAATTCAATTACTTTCAAAGTGTCATGGACATAATAGGGTTTTGATTTAAATTTTAATTAGCTCCAAAATAGATGTTAATTATGCAAATAAGTGAAATCCGTGTGAAGTGGCTGCAATTAATAGAAACAGTCGACGTTAATTTGCCTATTGTCATTGGTTGCTAATAGAATTATGTGCACCTACAAGAATTTTTTTATAATCGAGAATAGTAGGTGTATTTTCATGTGCTGTTTTAAGAAGAAAACATAATTTGACCTAATGTCATAAATGATTGTATGAAATTATCCTCTAAATAATATATCTAACAGCCCATTTCACATGTAGTGTATGATCAGTACGGATCATCAGGACTGATAACTGAGTACCATTTGTTTAGCGTATGGACTGATCTTCTATTCTAACTTTATTTTCGTTAAATTTTAATTTTCTGTTAGTAATAATTGGTTATTCTTGTTGTTTTTCTTTTTTTTTCCAATTATATTCAGTATGTGTTAAACTTTTTCAGAAATAAACTAATTATTACTTTTTATCATCTGTAACTAGGTGCCAAAGCCTACTTGGAATAAAAAACAACAATTTGGGATACTATCTGCTTGACTTTGGCGCACTATGCCTGCGGAATGCTGCACTGAACGCCCTGTATGATATAGCCAGAAATTAATAACTCCAGAGCATTAGCATCCCCAGGAAACCCACATAACAAAATTTCAGTTCATTCATTTGTGGAAGATAGGACCGAAAGTAGATTCTAAAAAATTATTTTCGACGCACTGTATCTTGAAAACGGAAAATGATACGACCATGGTTCATAGGAACAAATTGTAATAATTTTTAAAATTCTATCAGGCCCTGAATTTATGCTAGTGTTTTTCAGAACACCCTGTATATTGGTATATTTGTAAACAAAATCAGAACAAGATCAGCAAATCTTTAGCGAACCCTGAAAGAGGCGTCAAGTTATTCGTGATTTTCTCTTCCCAATCTTTCCACTTAATCAGAAATAATTGAACTGGAAATATACATCGAAGAAGTTAAACTTTTCCATCAACGTATCGAACATAACTTGTATTTATAGAAAATAAAATGTATTAATCATTATTTGAAACTTCCTTCAAGATCTTTGTGGTACGAACGTTCAGAAAAATTAAAAACATTAAACATTTAATGAAGGTTTTTTCATTAAAATTTGAAATATGAAGATGGTGATTGTTCCTATGTCCTAAATTGCCTCGTTTCTCAAATACAGGGTGTGGTAAATTTAAAATATATTTCTTAAACATTTTTCGATATTATCTCATAACTTATTTTTATTGTTCCTGTTGGAAGGTGGTGATTATTATTTTGTAAAAAATGTATATGCCTTGTTTAGCCATTAAGGTAGACTAATTTTAGTTGTCTTCTTAGATCATTTACGCGTTGTCCATCACTCGACCCGTTAGTTTAAGAGGTACAAATTTATTTAACCCCAATCTGGTTGAACTTCGTGTGATGTACTGTTTACTTTCCAGTACATCCGTGACATTAATTTAAGTAAACACATATTGTGTACAGAATTCTGATATTAGGTTGCTGATAAAAGAACTTGACCCTTTAAAATTTACATTTAAAAATACATTTAAAATATCAGTATACTAAGTCAAAATATGTGTGAAATGACCTATGCTTTATAGTATTGCATTTGCATTTCGTGGACAATAAGAACCTTGAATGTTGATTAGAATTTATAAGTTTTTCAGACGAAATGTATAAAATAAAGCAAATACTTTTCTAATTTAGATTATTTGTTTCAGAGAATTGAAATTAGCCTGTACAAACGCCTTAGCCGGGAAAAAATTCGCACAAGAAATTGGCGTTGACAAAGTGGACAAATCATTAGTAGCAAACTTCGAAATCCTTAATTTAGTCCCCGAACGTAGTTTTTTTCCGAACAGAAGCGAAGCAGGTAAGTTGCTACGTATTTTCAGTATCCTATCTGTTATTAATTTTTTATCTGAAGGAAAATTTACTTTGATAATATATTCTGGAAACATTTATAAAATATATATTTTAGAGACATTTATTGAGTTCATGAAAAATCAGAATGATCTCACAGTAACACTTCTCAATACATGTGTTACACAAATATTGCAATTTTTTTCTGAAAGATATTTCTATTTTAATGCATTTCCAGTGGCGGCTGGTGCGGGGGGCTTTGGTGCGGTGCCCCCCCCCCTTAGGAATTTTCACGGTATACAAATTAATTTAAAATTTCGTTTACAATGTCATCTAGATAATTAAATGGATTAGTCTTACATTAAAAAGAAAATGTTAAATTTGTAAAGTGTTTACAGTGGTGGTCATGGTTATCGTCACACAAACTAACAGCAGTTGCAATGCTATCTATCTATTGAAAAATGAGTGGTGCGAGAATACCAAACTTTAATAAAAAGTTATTGAAAAGTTTATTTCGGATAAAAGTAGGAAAATGGATTTTCACTATAAAAAATAATGTTGAACACATTTTCCCTATATTTCAATAATACTTAAAATAAACCTACCCAATTATATTTGATTTTTTTTTCAATATTTGTACTTAAATATTTCCGCCTCTTTTATGGATTTCAAGAGTCGCCACTGTATATTTCATATTTCGGGAACTAAGAACTATGGGATGTTTTTTTTTATTTGAAAACTTGTTTTACTTTCCTAGAGATTTTCAGTCCACTTTGTATATTTAGCACAATTGCTAATATCACATTTGTTTTTATACAGGGTGGTCCGAATTTTATGCAGAAAACTTCGAGGGTAGATAGATCTCTTTAAAATAGCAGGTGTTTGCCTTATGAACACAGACGCATAGAACGACATCGTTTTAGAGATACAGGATGTTTAAGTTGTAAAAAAATAGATTTTTTGTTTATATCTCCGGAAACTATTAACCGATCTCAATAAAATTTAGAACAGATAATGTATGACAGTTAGGCCTTGCATTCCCAAAAATATGAGCTCTAAAGGTTCAACCAGTGGTGTACAACTGGACAGGGGTCACCCTCTTTTTATTAAAAAAACCTACGCCACTATATTTTTTACAAGTTATTGTAACGGATTTATATTCTAATGCACTAAACACGTAAAAAGGTAACTTGAGTTTTTTACCTAAGATTCACCGTTCTCAAGTTATTCATACCAATACAATCCTCTTGTGGCAGATACTTAAACAATAATATTACAAGAATATTTATGTTTATGCTTAAAAGTAAGTGCAATTTGTAACTAGATAAACAAAATTCCTTCCACATCACCTGTGAGGTACTGTTCCTAGTGTGTAGTTTCCTTGAAGGCATAATCCACTATATTTACAAATAAGAACAATTTAAATCAAAATAATAATAAAAATACAACAACTAAGCAAGAAACAAAATTAACGTTACATAGGTATTTACAACAATTGTTCAAAATGCAAACTATCCACAACGATATAATTTTGCCATCTTCTACATATTAATGGAACTAATTGAAGCTAATATCATGTGGTTTTCTTTTAATTCATTACACCCGCCTTCTATTATCTGCAGTAATTAATAGAGAGCGGACAATGTGTGACTTTAACCCGAAGAATAGGTCAAATTTTGGTAGAGATGTGTACGCGTTCAAAAATGTATTGTGTATAAACTATGCAAAATATAATTATTATGTATAGCAAATATATCGTATTATCCTCGCGAAGATTCGTACCCTTTATTTAAAATCCATAAATCATGTGAACAGGTTAAATAACGAGAAAATTATTAAGTTAATTTAGTTCTAAAGAAATGAAATGACACTCGCGCCCATCTCTAGTCCATCCGTCGACATCGGTTGCGTTTATCGAATTCCTATTGGTCAGAATTCAAACTGCAGCCCTGTTATGAATGGAGCGTGAGTTGGACTATTCTACCATGTGCGTCGCCTGAGGTTATTCGTTCCATTGACTCCTAATTTCCGATTAAAAGAACGACACTATTTTTAGCCGAACTTTATTTAATAAATATGTAGTATACAATTTCTGATTTTCTGAATATTTTATAACGCCTAAAAATGTATGTACCGTGGAATTTTCGTGAATTATCACGTAAATTTCCGATGCATACCCGACACGTCATGGGTAATGTATCTAGTGTTAAGATAAATGTTAATTAACAATTCGATTATACACTTTTATTAACAAAAATTTATAGGAAGTGAACAGACTGTATGTGAACGCTTCAAACATTCATATCTGAATAATCCTATCTTATGCCTCTTTACCGGGTGTCGCCCGAACGCTTGATTTCCGTTTGTTTTGGTTATCCGGCGTTTGTTTATAAAACGCCGATATACAGAGTGCCTTCAATTCGCCCTGTCTGGAGATGAATATTCCTTAACACTAGATTTATGAATGACATATCTATGTTCAAGGTTAAAGTCACAAATTGTCCGCTGTCTGGTAATTAATTATGGTCTTGTATTTATTGGAGCAGAGTAAACTTTTGGCATTTGGTCTTCTACCTATCCATCGCCGCACATAATTTTCATTAAGCCATTCTTGTATTATTCTCCTAAAATACGCAGGAGCACCATCCATTTGTATCCAGCTATTTTGTGGTATATTTAAAGGAACATCCTCTAATAATTCAAATAGATGGTTTTCTAGAAAGTTTAGAAATGACTGGGAATTTAGATGGGGTGGCAAGAAGAAAGGTTTACTAACTTTATTGCGAATTATTCCGAGCCGCACTTTCACAGAAAATTCGTGTTGAAAAGATCTTGTCCAAATTTCATGAGGATTTTCTTGTGACCAAATATGCAGATTGCGAAAATTCACTACCCCTAGCCTTGTGAACGTAGCCTCATCGGTCTAAAGAATTTCTAGTAAGAATTCTGGATCATGTTGTGACTTTAACAACCACTGTTAAAAAATCAGGTACCTCTCTGCACCTCCCGGAAGTAAATTTTGCACAGGTTGTAAATGGTTCGGATTTCTACCATCCTTATGTGGAACTTTTCAAATTTCGATTTACTCACCCCAAGTTGCCGAGACGTTCTTCGTATACTTAGCCGAGGATTGTCGTCAAATGCTCTTAAAATTTAATTTATGTGCCTTTTATGTGCACCGTCGTGATTTTCCAATATCGTTTTAATCCAAAAAGATGAAAGCGACGAGTGTAAAGAATTTTGTTGATGTGCTTACAAATTGCACTTACTTTTAAGTATAAACATAAATATTCTTGTAATATTATAGTTAGAAGTGTCTGCCACAAGAGGATTGTATTGGTATGAATAACTTGAGAATGGTGAACTTTAGGGAAAAAATTTAAGTTACCTTTTTTAATAAAATTTATTGAGATCGGTTAATAGATTCCGGAGATATAAACAAAAGATTTTTTTATTTTTTTAGATTTTTTTTAATAACTTCAACACCCTGTATCTTTAAAACGAAACCGTTCCAGACCTATGTTTATAAGGCAAACACATATTATTTTAAAGAGATCTATCTGCCTTCGAAGTTTCCTGCATAAAATTCGGACCACCCTGTATAAAGGATATTACAATTATTATTAATACTGTCGTGTTAAATCCAAATGTAGGTATGCAATTTCCTCACATGTGTCAGTTATGACATTGGCAATTATAACATTATTATCTATTGCAGGAAATTTGAAAATTTATTAGTCCCGGTACGTAAGAATTTATTTGAAACCAAAATTGTCACTATAAGTGAAAATTTGTGTTCCAAATACAAAGTTTTTGGTTTGTTCCCAATAGTTAATCAAATGGATTTAACAACTAAAGTTTACTTACAATTTGGAAACTTCAGTGAAGGAATTTATCTTGGTAGTAGACACAAAGCGTTTGTGTACCTAAAGATGACTATTTTTTACCAATAGAAAGGGGAATTATTTGTATAACATCCTTGGCGTTTTACCGGAAATTAATTTTTTTCTATCTTTCAAAATATTCTAAAAATTAAACGACACATTAACATTATTCAAAGTTTTATTACAATATTTATTATTTGACGAGAATGCGTTTGAAAAATGTGTACCACTTATCCATCAAAATCGTTAGGATGTTGAATATTTCCCTCCAGAGGCTTAACATAAAAAGGGAACACATTACCAAGAAATATTCGCCTATCCCCTATTACATTATATTTTATACGTTCTTTCGGGCACATAAAAATTACCTTAATAAAAAAACAGAAATGGAACACAGGCAGATAACATAAAAGACAACAGTCTCCTAATGCGCACATTTCCATTTTATTTACTCTTGTTGAAAACAATCTTAAAATACCATACTTTCTGATTTCTAAAATATTATGATAGAATATTTCAAAAAGATCTAAGTGTGTTTGCAGTTTCGGCCCAATACACAAACATTTACTGTTCTCGGGGCAATAAACTGTCTCGAAAAGTGTGTTATCAAATAACTTTTCCTTGTAGACGTTGTTCGAGAAATTTCAGAACATACAAACAGCTTACATTAAAAATATACTATAAGTTATGTAATATTCTTACTTAAGTACTAATTCAAAATGTTGGTTTTTACTAAATTATAAGAGTATATCTGAAAGAGAAGATAAGTAACTTCATTCTAATCAAAAATGTTCTTATTCTTGGGCACGATGTTACAGCGCTTTGTCAACAAAACATTTGCTTTATACTCCAGTCGAATCAGATCAGAAAACCTGAAAATTAAATAAATTATTAATAGACATTTTATTGCACTTTATGACGAAGAAGGGTATGCAGAATGATAATATCGAAAGAAGTGATGTTATGTTGGCAAACTACAAATAAGTTGCGAAATTACGTGTCTTTTCACTTCTATTTCTGACCATGAAAGTCTAGACGACCTATCGGAAAATTAGTTATTTTGGATTGTAGGCAATTAAATTACCTACATTTAAAGGTATCTAAAGTCATATTTCACCTATTTATTAATTGTAAAATGAATTGCGCATTTTCATTGAAAAAAACCAATGCATGTTGATGAAATTCATAGAAAAGGCGGGGTCTATCCAATGATCAACATGTGTGCTAAAGGCCGATTTGATTGACCGTGAAATTGTTGCTCCAGATATTTGTTAATAAATTTCGTTTGTTTTTTTGCAATTGTTTAATTACTAAATGTTAATTTTAGAAGTTAATATCGTAGATATAGGTTCTAATTGATCCAAAGAAGTGTAACGAAAAAGGAAAATATTAAAAAGTTGAAATTAAGTTGCCCTTTACAACTAACAAAGTAGGACGTGCAAAACCGCGTTATAAACAAAATGTCCCAGGGTCAGGCAAAATCCGCTCGGGTACTCGCTCTTTTTGCATTAAATAGAGCTTACTTTTACGGCAATTACAAAAAAAGGATTATTACCTGTGCCGCTTTGTTCTCAAGATAACTTTTTTATATAATGTTAATTGTTAATTAACTATTGGACGTGTCGGACTGGGATTTTAGAGACAATTAAAGAAAGGGTTAAACTTTTATTTGAAAACAGTTTTCGGTCGCGTGCGAGATTTTCGAACCGAATTTGAAAAGTAAAAATCTCGCGCGTGACGAGAGCGGCATTAACGCGCAAGCGCGGGCCTGGCGCTCCTTGTCCCGCTTGCAGGCTGCTCATTAAAGTTAACTTTTACTGCTGCTACTAACTAACTAACTATCAATGTAAAATATTCTGAAAATAAAAGCTTAACCCTTTCTTTAATTGTTTCTAAAATCGCGGTCCGATATATCCAATAGTTAATTAACAAACAACCTTATAAAAGAAAACTATCTTGGGAACAACGAGGCGTAGGTGATTTCTGTTTTGTTTAAAATTACAGTAAAAGAAAGATCTATTTAATGCAAAAAGAGAGAATTCCCGAGCGGCTTGTGTCTGTCCCTGGGATAATTTGTTTATAACGCTATTTTGCACATCGTACTTTGTTAGGTGTAAAGGGCAACTTTTAGAAATTTTTCTTTTTTGATACGTTTGTTTGGATCAATTAAAACTTATGTCTACGATATTAACTCCTAAAATTAACGTTTGGTAATTAAATAATTAGTTGCACAAAAACGAACGAAATTAATTAACAAATACCTGGAGCAACAATCTCACGGTCTATCGAATCGGTCGATGGCACACATATTGGTAACTGGATTTGACCGTCTTTTTATGAGTTTCATTAGCATCGCTTTTTGCAATAATAATACGCAATTTTCGAAAACTGATTTTTCCGCATTCGACCTTCATTTTACTGTTAATAAATTGGTTAATTTGACTTTAGGTACCTTAAATTGTAGGTAAATAATTTAATTTAATAATAATAATTTACGGGCGATCTGAGGTCGGGAATGGGAAGGGGGTGAGTTTTTAAGGGTAAAAAACGGTTTATCTTTATTTCCGGAAAAACTACAAGTCTTATGGAAAAAAGTTAAATGGAAAAGTTGTAGGTAATAAAAAGATATACAACTTTTGTATTTACACTTTTTTCACATAACCTCAAAATTTATGTGAAAAATTCAAATAACCAAGTTTTTGGTTTTTTATTTTTATCTTTTACAAACAATTTTTTTTCACGAAATTTGGTGAAAACTTACCTATTTATGTCCCAAACACGCTGTAATTTTTTTGATTTGAAATATTTATTTTTTCACCTTATTTTTACTTAATATCGAAAAAGCACCCTAATTTTCAATCGAAAATTCTCACGTCAAAATATCTGCTTTTTTAAAAACGTCGGTGGGCTTTTTCTTCGTTGAAATCTCTACTTTCTGATGGTGTAAAAAAATATATACATTACTATGGTAAGTTTTCTCAGGAAATGCAAAGAAACGAACTAGAATCCGAAAATTTTTTTCTAATCATTATGTACAATTTTGAGCTATTTATTAAAATTTACACTTTAATTACTCGAAAAACGTAAGATTCCATGTTACATTGATAAACAAAAAAATTACAAGTCGAAATATACTATTATAATTAACAACCAAATAAGTTAATAAAGTTAATATTTAATAAGACATCTACAATATTTTGAGAAAGTTGTAGAATCTTCTTTCGTTTCTTTGCATTTCCTGAGAAAACTTACCATAGTAATGTATATTTTTTTTTACACCATCAGAAAGTAGAGATTTCAACGAAGAAAAAGCCCACCGACGTTTTTAAAAAAGCAGATATTTTGACGTGAGAATTTTCGATTGAAAATTAGGGTGCTTTTTCGATATTAAGTAAAAATAAGGTGAAAAAATAAATATTTCAAATCAAAAAAATTACAGCGTGTTTGGGACATAAATAGGTAAGTTTTCACCAAATTTCGTGAAAAAAAAATTTTTTTGTAAAAGATAAAAATAAAAAACCAAAAACTTGGTTATTTTAATTTTTCACATAAATTTTGAGGTTATGTGAAAAAAGTGTAAATACAAAAGTTGTAGATATTTTTATTACCTACAACTTTGCCATTTAACTTTTTTCCATAAGACTTGTAGTTTTTCTGGAAATCAAGGGAAACCGTTTTTTACCATTAAAAACTCACCCCCCACCCCTTCCCGACCTCAGATCACCCATAAATTATTTTTCCTTTCATTTCTGTTATATTCTCTTTATTTTCCAATGGGTTTCATCCTACTATAATTTTTATGGTTTCAAAAATTATCGACCCTGGTCTATTACTGATATTCAGATTACCAATAGCAGTAGTCAATGAAGGTAGAGTTTTTTCTTCGTTCAAAAATAAAATAAGTTTTCCATATCGATGATCTGTGAATATACATTTGTATCAATTTTAAAATGCAGATTGTGAAAATCAAAGGACCTGTAAACTATTTTCAATCTTCCCAGATCTATATCAATTAACGTATTGGTTAACATCCAGTAAAAATGATATTACAGGATTCCACAACCAATTCCTTTTATTAGCTTTGTGTAAATATAACCCGGTCAAAGTAGCTAAAAAAAAAATAGGGAAATGCTTACAATAATTTGCATAAAGCTGAAAATTGGTACGAATGTTGGGAACACCACTACTATAAATGAAAAGTGAAAAGTCCCCATAGATCCCACATCTGCAAAAAAAATGTATTCAAGGTCAAAGTTCGCAAATATGATTTTTTTTGCATTTTTCAGCCAAACGCTAAGTTTTATCAAAAAATAGATCTGACAAAATTGTAGAACATGTAATTATCTATAAAAATTGTTCCTACAATTTTTTTCCTAAGAATGACCATTTTTGAGATATTGCGATTCAAAAAGTTGAAAAGTTGTGTTCTCCATAATATGCACACGTTTACACGCCACCTGTGAAGTAGTGTACTTGGCGCATTTTTTTTTTAACGTGGTTGCCCTGGTAGGTCTATTCCACGATCTATTGTGGTCCTGTTTAATTAAATAATATTGTATTAAATAAGAAATGATACTATTAGAAATGATGAAAGCAGTGTGAATTATGAGTAATCGGGGAAAATTATCTAATGGAACTTCAAGTGTAATGCCTTCTTCTTCTCTTTCTCCTCCTCCTTCTTCTTCTTCCTGCTGGATACACGTAAATTATTCTAACACCGATGCATCAGATGTTTCCTCGCTGATATCGTAAGAATCCTCTTCTGATGGCGATTCAACATTGGAGCACGACTGGCCTTAACAACAGGTAGTTGCTAATGAACAAAACCCACAATAGATCATGGAATAGGCCTACCGGGGAAACTTTTCCAACTTTTTGAATCGCCATATCTCATAAATGGTGATTCTCAGGAAAAAAAAATATGAACAATTTTTATAGATAATTGCATGATCTACAATTTTTGTCTGGCCTATTTTTGTGGTAAAAGTTATCGTTTCGCTGAAAAATGCAAACAACTCATATTTGCGAAATTTGACCTTGAATAAATTTTTTTCAGATGTGGGATCGATGGGCACTTTTCACATTTCGTTTATAATGGTGTTCCCAACATTCGTAGCAATTTTTCAGGTTTATGCGAATTATTGTAACCTTGAATGTCCATTTTGACCTGGCTAACACTCCATTATAATAAAAATGTTTCTCTTTTACAGACATTTCTCCTATTACGAGCGTCAAATGGAAGCGAGTGGGAATGGTTTCTGGCAGGTCGGTGCGTCTGGATACCATAATTTGGCCGGGAGGTGACCTCTCGGTGGCAGCGGTGTCGACGAGGGCGAGGACGGTCTTCAGGGTGGTCACGGCCCTCGCACCTCCCTTCGTCATGGAGAGCGAGTTGGACGAGGATGGACAATGCCTCAGAGGTATGCTTTAGCGAGATAACTTTGAAATATGTACCTAGTGTGGTTATGTTTTAATTTTGTGCGTGTTCTGTATTTATTTTCATTACACCTCATTAGTGCTCCTAAGTGAGATCAAAAGGGATGGGACTGGAACGTATAGGGTGGTTTGTTAAAAGCGAACAAGCAAGTTTTATGAGTTTAAATTTAAATTGTGCGTCATTTTCAATCTGAAGAATTGGCAATATTGTGCAGGGTCACATGTTGCGGTTAGTCAAAATGGAGCGCTGTACGACGGACTAGCGAGTGAAGATTGTGAAAGTTCATTACAAGTACGGAGAGTGCGTAGCCGAGACTGTGCGCAAATCACGTGGAATTTTCGAATGAAACAACTGTAAAAAGACATTACAAAAACAGGTCGGCTTCGTACTGCTCATTCAGCCGAAAATATTGGTATAGTCTTTCCGAAGTCAGTTGAACATGTATAATGTTCATTTGACCAACAACATATTTTAATTATTTATGTCCTCAAACAATTTTATTATATTTTTGTAACAAAAGCCGGGACGCGTGGTAGTTTATTTGCTAATTCTCGGAACAGACGGGCCAACTCAAACAGTAAAATATTTCAGTCAACACTAGGGTTTGCAATCCCGCAGTCTTTTTTTGCCAGCTGGAAATTTGCGGTAAATTCACCTTTACAGCGGGATCCCGCTGTAATTCCCGCGAGAGATTTAAAAATATATTTATTTATATATGAAAATAATAATGCTATTATTGTGAAATGTTTATATTTAATCAAATGAAATATAAATAATTCGTGGTATTTAAAAATCAACAGATAAGCATTATATACATTAAAAACTATGTTTATTAACTAAGAATTAACAGAAATCAACGCATCAATAATATATTACTTTTGTTATTTTTACATAGATGTTATTATACTTAACGTACTTGTTGCTGTTGACTTACTAAATTTATAAACATCTAGGTTAGGTTAGTAATTTAATCGTATTTCTAAAAAAATATTTGCTAGATACATCGATAATATACTGCCCTACTTCGGAATATGACAGTTTAGAGAAAATTGCAAAGAGATATTAGGCATACTTCATTTGGCTGTCGTTCATTTACTAATTAAGGTAATAACTTGATTTTTTCGTTAATGGCAAATGAAAAACAAATATTTTTTAATGTATTTGAAGAATGTTAGAAAACATTGCAATTTCAATAAAAACACCGTCAAAAATGTTGTTTTGTCTTAATAAATTTAAGATAAAAATGCCGTATGTGCAGTATGTGCTACATTTTCAACATAAATGAATAGAAGAACCAGAACATGTACATCCTATACATGATATTTTGGATGTTTTTACAGGGTATTTTACAATTTTTAATATTTAATTGTTGTTTAATTTAAAACAACGCATGTAAACACATACGAATTTAATTTGTTAAAAACATCGTATTTCAACGCTTCTGCTAGAGAAGAAAGCCGTATGTGGTCACATGCGCCGTTTATACTATGTACCTCTTAATGAAATACATGTACTTAAGTCTGCTAAGTGACACGACACAATATTAGAAATTTAAAATGTACAAATTTTTAAGTTTAAACAAACAAAAACGTAATGTATGAAGACAAAACTATTAGTTACTATAAATAGTATAAAATTCCACTAAACACTTTTTTTTCTCGAAAATAAACAAACGAATCAAGGAATTTATTTGAATGATGCAAAGATCTGCCGATTTTAATCCTTTCCTTGGCTCGATTGATCGATGCTATCACAGGGGAACGGGATGCGCTCGCAAACCAAACGGGGCGCTAGCGATATCGCTAAACGGACTTGTTCTATTAAAAAATTTTCCGCGCAGGAATTTCCGCACAAATGCGAGAATTCCGCAGGTCTCATTGACATACGGGAAATTACTGGAATGCTGTAACGCGGAATGCGGGATTGCAAACCCTAGTCAACACTAATTATTGAAAAGTTTAGGGTTTCCAACGGCGGAGGAATTCCAAGATACTTAAATAAATTCACTAGAGGAAGGGGTAGGGTTACTTGTGAGTTCAGTTTAGTCACAAAATTATCCATACAACTGTAAATTCAGTTAATTAGATAACTATTAACATGGCATAGTTATGCCAAAGCGTCCCGATATTCAGGGATCCCGCCAATAAGATAGGAACTGATACTTCTGTACTCAAGAAATGGGCGTTTCGAAGCGAGTAGTCGATTTCAGGAGAGATTTCCGAAAAAGCAGTTTCCCCTTGGATTCCACACTGGGCAGTTTTCTTAATTTTAGAGTCTCGGGTTAATGTAATCGTGAATAAAGTCTTTACAAATTTTGCCATGAATTCGCGTTGGGCTCATTCTTCAACTGGGTGACCAGATTTGTATATGCATACGGCTAAATAAATATGGGAAAAAATTTTTTAAATATTTCAGTGCCGAGTTGCTGCGTCTGCGGCCGAACCTGGTTGAGTGATAGATAGTGTGGCGGAAATTCCCATAACGTCAGTGCGCCGTCGGTCACTGCAATAAACAATTTCAAAACGCACATGCAACGGATTTTAACAAAAGATCTTCATCTGCATCCATATGTGATTGGTTGTTGGAGAATCAATAAGTGGACGGTGATTTTGGCGCTGATGGGGTGATAAGTCTATTCTTTTTCGAAAATGAGGCTGGAAACGCTGTGACTGTCAATGGAGAAGGATATCGAGAGATGCGTGGATTTGGATGACATGTGATTCCAGCAGGATGGTGCCATCTGCAATACGGCACGTGAAACTATACACTTGTTACGGCAGAAATTTAATGGACGACTCATCTCACGTACGAGTGAAGTGACTTGGCTACTAAAATCATACAACCTTACGCCGAGCGACTTTTTCCTGTGAGGATTCGTAAAGTCCATAGTTTATTCTGTTCAAGAGTTATTAACGAAATTCAGTCACATGTATGTGATAGCATGATACAGAATTATGAGTATGCTAAATGGGTCGCGGAGGACAGCTGTTCGATACCTGTTCCATATTTAACGGCAATATCTACCCTTTAAAGATATGTAAAAATTTTGTCAACTTTTTAATTAATAAAATCTTTTTCCTCATATGAAATCCTGCGGTTTTTTGGGATACATTTTACGTAGTGCTGAACCACATTGATAGGATGAAAACTTATTTTTAATTGTTGACTCCAGAGCCATCTTTGTTTTTGAATAGGTACAAGGGTTACTTCATGCATATTTGAAAATTGTTATACATTAAATTGTGTTGTTAACTAGCAATTTTCATCATCTTATTTTATGGTAAAGATGATTGCTTTTATCAAATTTTTCTCCTCTTTTGTTGTATTTCAAATAGTTCTAAGTTATGTTTAGCAATCTGTGCCATAAAAACGAAGCATGTAAGGGTATTTCTTCATGGATTTTGGTGCAATATTTAAGTTTGACCAATCAATCTTCAAACATTGTGTTTATTTAATCGTTTCTAAAATGCGTTTGCAAAATGTATAGTGTAATTTTTCATCAACTGTTGAAAAATAAAAACAAAATACATGAATTTAATTGTGGTATCAAATTTGACAGAAGAATGATACTTTCTCCAAAAATTACTTAATTATTATTTAAAAAAATCCACATTGTAAATTTATGTAATTTGAAAATTTCGGTGCTGCTCTGATAAATCTCTAAATTGTACACTACAAGCTGCGCAAAAAAGTAATATTTTCACTAAAATTGATTTACATTCTACTCCTCGTCTTGCGGTTGTATAGGAGCAACGAAGAAGAAATATCGAATGTAAGAAGTAGGAAAAAGAAATTCCAATAACAAAATATTATTCAATAAAGCTTTAGCAAGCCGGCAAGTTGAATTTATTTCGTCCAATAAGTTATATATGATCGGTATCCGTTGGACCATAAAAACGTCTATGAAACAAAAAAACACGTCATGTAACAAAGAGAGTTAAAACAGAACGAAAATTTAATAAATAAAAATAGCCAAATAGTATGTAAACAATATTTTAAGTTATAAAATAGTTTTAGTGCTAAATGAATCCGTAGAGACATGCCGTGCTTTCCTAAGATTTTGAATTCATTATTATTTTAGTAACACACTTACTCCCAGTTATTTTATTTTTCTAAAATTACCTAATGTTTTTTATTTTTAAATTAACTTTGCTGTGTTTATTTAAAAAGTATTAATAAATATAGACATAACCCCCGATATTTGAATCTATTTGCTTTTAACCCCGAATCCACTAAACTTTTTGTATGTGTTCCATTGAGCTGAACGAAGATGTTATTGTTTACGAAGATGAAAATAATTTATTTAAGGATGGTACTACTAACTTAGATTGTAGTATTTCAAAAAAAATATATAAAAAATAGGTAGACCAATATTAATTACCTGAACATCATAACTCAAACATTTCACAAATATTAATTATTTTGTTTGAATATTGAGTTCCTAAAGGAAAGTTAAATTCATATAAATACGAAAGCGCAAGTACTGGATACAGTCTTAAAATATATCAAAATGTAGTTTAAAGTGACTCCATCGACCCTAATAATTAGTTTTATAATTCAAAGCATGCTTCTTCATTTCTCTTTTAGGTTATCATACGATCCTCGATAATGGTTACATTATTTTCAGCGTGCTCAGTTTTCCCAGTAACTAATTTTGCCAATTCTCATGCCACGGCATCAAATCTCCTATAATTTTAAGAATGGAACTGTTAATCCGCTTCCCTTTACATTTACATCACAAAATGGTATGAACAGATAATAATTTGATTAAAAATATTTGCATATGATTTTAGATTAATTAGCCCAGTTTGTAAAATACTAGTAAACCAATTAATAAAATAAAAGTAAAGTAATTTGTAACTGTAAATTTAATATTAGGCAAATTGGATTTATTATTGGGAGCGGCGGATTTTACTCAGAGGATTTTGACAAAATACTTTCAGAAGAGTATTTCCATTTTAGTGTGTATGTGAACAAGCAAAT